TTCTGACACTTTTTCATGATCAACTAGAAGTCAGGTCATTATTTGTGACTCTTACAACTGGGATCAACGAAATGAGTTTTGTCAGGTAGTGTATATTGCACTATTTGTCAGATTTTTCAAATATTGTGCAATATCAGTTAAAATTAAACCCATTATCCTGCAACAGTAATTTGATAACTGAAATAAAGGTAAAATAAAATATAAATAGACAAAACCATGGCTAAACAATATCAAAGCTAATTCTAAACGTTAAGAAATTAGATGATGTTTCATATTACTAATTAAACACAAAATACTAGTTGGTTAAAAATGTACATTAAGACTTCTTTAATTAAACAGAAATGTCTGACAGAGGAAATAAAGTATCTGTGGTATTAAAGATGCCTGTGGATATTCACTGGAAATGTATTCAGTTTCAGTATTACTCTTTACACACTAATTAAAATGTCTAAAGTAGACGGTAATGTCTTCTTCCATGCTGAGCACAACAAGTTGCCCATTTATCTCTGGAACAGCTTGAGGACACCGAAGGTATTCTAGAGCGAGAGCTTACTGAATGTAAAGAGGGAATGAGAGAAAGCTGTTGGCTTCTCAGCAGTAGTGGGGATGGGAGGACAACGCACCATTCGAGTGCATGCAACTAGAATCACTTGAGCACATCAGGGACCCACACACACAGTGTCATAGCCCCTGCATGCACAGAAAGATCGAGCTCATTAAGTTGATAAGGATCAGGCAGAAAGAGCTGTGTCAGGATGCTTACACAACACACAGAAAAAAAGAGCGAGGCCCTTGATGTTCAAGTTTGCATGAAGCACATTACATCATACTTATTAGTTTTTGCTAGTTTTTGGTTGGAACCTGTTTTGCCTTTATAAATGCCTTAATTCTTTAACCCAAAACAAGTTGCTAGATAACATTTGTTGTGAATACATGCAATCTAGAGGCAAAATTACATACTGTGCCTTTAGGTCTAATCCCAATTCTACCTGTTAGCCCAGGAGTCGGGAACCTTTGTTCAGCAAAGAGCTATTTCTGTTTTTTTGGCAAATGCATTTTTTTAAGAGCCTCTGGGCATCTCGCCATTACCACACATGAATGTTGTTTGAATTTACGTGTGCAAGGTTACAATAGAAACGTGAGTTGTTTTGTCCTTCATTGGTGTCGCAATTCAAGATTAACCACAGCACCACATGCGTGCATTGGTTGAAACATCGTTTTATTGTAAACTAAGCTTTTATTCATTTTGCTCTGAAATAATTATGATAAAAAGGGAATTGTAATTGTATTTATTTCTTTTTTGCCTTTATTTTAACAAAACAAAATAACAGAACGGTAACCACAGGTTACAACCAAAAAAATTCTCAACATCACAGCAATTAATGAAGATATGAAAAATAAATATGTACAAAGTAAAAATAGTGTGTCACTATGGCGCAGTGGGTAGCACCATCGCCTCACAGCAAGGAGGTTGCTGGTTCAAGCCCTAGCTGGGTCAGTTGGCATTTCTGCGTGGAGTTCTCCTTGTGTTCGCGTGGGTTTCCTCTGGGTGCTCCGGTTTCCCCCACAGTCCAAAGAAATGCATCACGGGTGAATTGGGAAAGCTAAATTGTCCATTGTGTATGTGTGTGAAAGAGAGTGTATGGATGTTTCCTAGTGACGGGTTGAAGCTAGAAGGGCATCCACTGCGTAAAACATATGCTGTTGGTGGTTCATTCTGCTGTGGCAACCTCTAATTAATTAAAAGACTAAGCCGAAACGAAAATGAATGGAAGTAAAAATGATAACTGACTCTTATAGTATTAAAATAAGCGTTCCACCACTACTCCTCCTTTCCTAGATGGGTGGCACGGTGGCACAGTGGATAGCACTGTTGCCTCACAGCAAGAACGTCAGTGGTTTAAGTCCTTACCAAGCCAGCCAACGTTTCTGTGTGGAGTTTAAATTTTGTTTAAATTTTGCTATCTATAATCCACAATAATTACTATTTTATAGTAGTCCCACAACATATTTTACAATCTGTCACTCCATAATGCTAAAAACACATAAATAAAGTTGCATGTTTATTGCAAAATTATATCATTATGATAACAAGCCTTCAGCAATTTCCTGAAGATAAATAAAAAAAAAAACTGTAAGCTACACAAACCGAATAGCTACAGCAGTCGCCATTGTCGATCTCATTTGACATAAGAGCTCACAACAAGATATGATGACGTGCTGATGTTGTAGTTGTGATCCATTTCTTAGGGGTAAATTTGAAGTCTTTCCCCTTCACACTATGTTTCAAGGGTCAAGGGGAAAAGGTGGAGTTAAAAGAATAGAATTGGGATTGGGTCCTAATGCCTTATTCTGACCCAGCCAGAAAGGCATAACATAAATCGAGACTCATCAGACCATGCAACGTTTCATCCAATTCATCCATTGTGCAATTTTGGAGAGGAATTATAGTTTTCAATTTCCAGGTGTGTTATAGCACTATACAACTCGACTGCAGTTTTACACTTCTAACCACTTTATGTTTGGTACTCTGTAATATTTAGTAAATAGTTAAGTAAATGTTGCTTATGAAGAAATGTTATCAAGTCGACTGGGTAAACCAAAAAGAATTATTGAAATTTGCATGGGTAAAAATTGTGACTTAATTTTTGCTGTATTGCCCAGCTATAACACTGACCTTCACAATCACCATCTTACAACTATAATCTGAACCATAATACTCCCTATTAAACACCTCACTGGCACTGCAAAGCACACGAGCCACCCAAGCAACACAGGCTGCAGTTTCTGTAAATCTTCCTCACGCTGCCAGAGGAAACAACCACCTGCCAAAGCAAACGTGTCATCTGATCATGTTTGTAAATCTTAGTCGACATTTATTGAGCATGGAACATGGTGAAATAGCTCACAGACACCCTGTTCAGTCTCTGTTAAATTGCGTTTGCTTATTGGCAGCTCCTTAGAAACGGGACCATAGTGTTGGCCTGATTATGAAACCACCAACTCAGCAGTTCCACACATCTGCACATGTAAACGCCACAGGGTGTGTGCCAATCAATGGAGCTGCTTTTGAATTGCAAGTTAACCATGTGGAACACAGCCTGGCTGAGCCACCACAGAGTATTATTAATATTAAAGATGGAGATGGAGCATCGCCATCATAAATACTAAATATTAATAAATAAAGAATTATGGCCAATCCAAATTCGAGCACAAACTGTGATGTACTAATTTAATTTTCTTGCTATGAATTCTAATTCCCCTTTTCAGTATATTCTTTTAAAATGATTAAAACAGAGTAGAGATGTTTTAAAAATGAATAAAGAGAGTCACCCAAAATTTTTTATTTAATCGCCCTGTCATTCCAAACATGTATCCCATAAGAAATTTGATCTATGGCAATATATGCAAATTACATATCTGACATACAACTTCATATATTGGGAAAATTTTATTATATATGTTATATTATATAGTGCATCTGGAAAATATCGATAGCGCTTCACTTTTTCCACATTTTTTTTTAGTCTTATTCCAAAATGGGATAAATTCATTTATTTCCTCAAACTCCTACACACAATACCCCATAATGACAATGTGAAAAAAGATTTTGAAATTGTTGCAAATTTATTAAAAATGAAAAACCTGAGAAATCACATGCACATCAGTATTCACAGACTTTGCTCAATCCTTTGTTAATGCACCTTTGGCAGCAATTACACCCTCAAGTATTTTTAAATATGATGCCACTAGCTTGGCCAACTGTCTTTGGGAATTTTTGCCCATTCCTCTCTGCAGTACCTCTCAAGCTCTATCAGGTTGGATGGGAACGGCTGACTTTGTACAGCTATTTTCAAATCTCTCCACAGATGTTCACTAGGGGTTAGGTCTGGGCTCTGGCTGGGCCACTCAAGGACATTTACAGAGTTGTTGTGAAGCCACTCCATTGATATTTTGGCGGTGTGCTTTGGTTCATTGTCCTGCTGCAAGATTAACCATCTCCCCAGTCTGAGGTCAAGAGCACTCTGAAGCAGGTTTTCATTCAGGATGTTTTTCTGATGCCTTTTGGCAAATTCCAGGCGGGGAGTGGCTTCCATCTGATCACTCTACCATACATGCCTGATTGGTAAATTGCTGCACAGACAGTTGTCCTTCTGTAAGGTTCTCCTCTCTTTCCTGAAGACTGCTCGAGCTCAGACAGAGTGACCTTTGGGTTATTGATCACCTCCCTGACTAAGGCATATCTCCCCCGATCACTCAGATCTGATAGCTGGCCAGCTCTAGGAAGAGTCCTTGTGGTTCCAAACATCTTGCACTTACGGATGATGGAGGCCACTGTGCTCATTGGAACTTTCAGAACAGCAGAAAATTTTCTGTAACCTTCCCCAGCCTTGTGCCTCGAGACAATCCTGTCTCAGAGGGCTACAGACAATTCCTTTGTCTTCATGCTTGGTTTGTGCTTTGACATGCACTATCAACCCTGGGACCTTATATAGACAGGTGTATGCCTTTTCAAATCATGTCCAACCAACTGAATTTGCCACAGATGAACTCCAATTAAGCTGCTGAAACATCTCAAAAATGATCAGTGGAAACAAAATGTACCTCAGCTCAATTATCTTTGTACATGTGATTTCTCAGGTTTTTTATTTTTAATACATTTGCAACAATTAAAAAAAATCTTTTTTCACATTGTCATTAAGTGGTATTGTGTGCAGACTTTTGAGGAAATAAATTAATTCAATCCATTTTGGAATAAGGCTGTAACATAAAAAATGTGGAAAAAAGTGAAGCGCTATGAATACTTTCCAGATGCACTATACATATATATATATATATATATATATATATATATATATATACATATATATATATATATATATATATATATATAAATGACATATATAGCCAAATACGAAATTTTATGTCATAAAAGTATTAGCATATATTTACATATATTTTATTTTATATGTGTATGTATGTAAAAAAAAAAAACTCACCTGGTGAACCCAACAGTAACTGCACCACATCATCATACAGCAGGAGAGTTGCTGGTCTCTGAGGAAGTAGGTAGAGACTTACGGAGGCGTACACTGAAACACAAGTGAGAGAGAGAAAGAAAACAGAGGAATATTTACAAAAATGTTTACAGAAATATTTTTAAAGAAATGTTTAATGTTTAATAATATATATATATTTTTATTCAGTAAGGATGCATTAAATTGACTAAAGGTAACAGTAAAGACATTTATTATGCAATTAATTATTAGGAATGTATTTCAATTACAACAACTGCAGTGCTTTCAATTGAAATCATTGTTTCAAGAAAAATAAGTACAGTTTTAAAATATTACACAGCTGCAACTCTTTTCATCACTAATAATGATTTCTTTACCGTCTGACATTAGTCAGCAAATACAAAGACCAACGTACAGTATAAAAACAGTAGCATTACATTGAAAAAATAACATACTTTCCACTCTGTTCCATACATACTCAAATGTTCATGTTTTATTTAACATATCAGTAAATAAATTGTTACATGTAAATCAATAACTAACAGATCTAGAAGTTAAAACACACCACATAAAGAAAAACTGAGCTCTATTCATATGAAATAATCATAAACAAAAAATCCAGCATGTTCTGCCTCTCTTCCTATACATTAGCTTAGCTTAAAACCTAAACATTTTTGTTGTTCCAATTGTTCATCTAAACCCCCAAACCGTCCATTCTTTCTTATTGTAAGGGATTGTCTACCCTGGAGAGCACAAGACTTCAGTATTTCCTGTAGAAAGAAACAGTGCAGTATTTCACCAGAGGTAGCTGCTAACTCGCAGGTGTGAGACATGACTCAGCACAGTCACATCCTCAAGTTCGCAACACAGCACAAACCACAATCTCTCTTTAAACATCCTTTGATAACACCACATAAAACCTCACAAAATCTGGAGCACTACCAGCCCATCAGCTCTGCAGACATTTATTTAATAGATTTTATTTTGTTGCAAAAATCAAAGCATTCAACACATTATATATTAACTATTAGAAGCCTGAATCGAATGTTACTCAAGCGCCAGGCCGAAATGACATAAAAGACATTTTAGTTGTATAATAAATGTATTCTTGCATTAAATCTACTGTGCCAGCATCATCTATCTTTGTCACCTAATCTGAATTGTACCTCACCCTTGAGTGCTCTTCTACACTCAGGAAAGAGGACATACACTGGCAGTACTCCAGAAGACTGCTGCATGCTGGGAGCAGAAATCCTCCGTGTCCATTTCCCATCTGCTATGGCACACTATAATGCCCTTTTTTCATTTCAGGACTGTTTAAATTGGATGTACGTCACAACATAGGAAACAAGGATCATTTTCGCTTCATGTTGATTTTAAAGAAGTAACATATTTCAGAGACACAAAAACAGGCAGTTCCCTCCAGTAAATTTGTCATCTGAAATATGCAACAAAACATACCCGAAGCAACGTATTGTACGATTCACAAACATTTAAGGTGAGGTAGGTATTTCCAATGAGACTGGGCAGTTAATGTGCAACAAATTGGCTGAGGACGCGTCTTTTTCTGCCAGCCCTCAAAAGGGCTTTGGGTTTATGACTACAGCCAATAGTCATACTCAATAAATGCGCTAAATAATTATGGTGGCTTAAGAAAGCCAACATACTGTTATACTACATAAACCTATTCTTCTTCTTCGTCTGAGACTAACTTCTATACGCATTGACTTAACATTGGACCAAACTTTGTGATCTCATAACTTTGCGCCAGGTTGTCATACAGACTTAAAGTTGGGCTCATTTAACTCAGACTACCAATCTGCCAATCACTAATGAACTTTCAATTTACTAGCCACACCCTAGCAACCACTTACGGCACCCTACCAACTGTCCCATAAACTTTCATTGTAAAAAACTGCCATTGACTTTACATTGGACATACTAACAACATACCAGTTTGTACTAACATTATACGAATCCATAATAGAAACATACTAAAATACTAATCATACTAGAAACATGGTAGCAACACGCTAATTTATACTAGAAACATACTAGCAACATGCTAATTCACTCAGAGCACCCTAGCAACCACCTAGCAACCACTCAAAACACCCTAGCAACAGCCTAGTAACACCTTAAAAACCACCTAGCAACACCTTTGCAACCACCTAGAACACAATAGCAATCGCCTAGCAACACCTTAGCAACAGCCTAGAACACTATAGCAACCACCTAGCAACACCTTTGCAACCACCTAGAACACCATAACAATCGCCTAGCAACACCTTAGAAACCACCTAGAACACTATAGCAACCACCTAGCAACACCTTAGCAAGCACATAGAACACCATAGCAACCCCCTAGCAATACCTTAGCAACCACTTAAAAACCCTAGCAACCGTCTATCAACACCATAGCAAACACCTAGCAATCACTCAGAACACCCTAGCAACCGCCTAGAAACATCTTAGCAACCACTTAGAATACCCAATCAACCGCTTAGCAACACCTTAGCAACTACTCAGAAAACCCAAGCAACATTAGCAACCACCTAGACCACACTAGCAACCACCTAGCATAACCTTAGCAACCACTTAACAACCCCTCACAACACCCTAGCAACTACCTAGAAATCAGTCAGAACAACATAGCAACCGTCTAGCAACATCTTAGCAACCACCTAGCAACCACTCAAAAAAACATAGCAACACTTTAGCAACCCCTCACAACACCCTAGCAACCGCCTCGCAACCACCTAGTAATCAGTCAGAACGCTCTAGCAACCGCCTAGAAAACACTAAAAACACCATAGAAACCACCTAGCAACACTTTAGCAACACCCTAGCAACCACCAAAAAACTGCCTAGCAACAACTTTGCAAGCACAAAGAAAATCATAGCAACATCTTAGCAACCACCTAGAACATCATAGAAACCACCTAGCAACACTTCAGCAACCACTTAGCAACCACTCAGAAGACCATAGCAACCACCTTGCAACAACTTAGCAACCACTCAAAACACCCTAGCAACTGCCTAGCAACACCTTAGCGACCACTCAGGAAACCCTAGCAACACCTTGGCAACCACCTGGAATACCATAGCAACAGTCTAGCAACACAACAGAACATCCTAGCTACCGTCCATCAACCATTCCAAACACCCTAGCAACCGCCAAGCAACACCTAAGCAACCACCTAAACATCTTAGCAACAACTCAACACCCTAGCAGCTGCCTGGCATCACCTTAGTAACCACCTAGAACACCATAGCAACCGCCTAGAAACACCTTGGCAACCACCTAGCAACCAATCAGAACACCAAAGCAACTGCCAAGCAATACCTTAGCAATCTACTTATCTATCTATCTATCTATCTATCTATCTATCTATCTATCTATCTATCTATCTATCTATCTATCTATCTATCTATCTATCTATCTATCTATCTATCTATCTATCTATCTATCCATCCATCCATCCATCCATCCATCCATCCATCCATCCATCCATCCATCCATCCATCCATCCATCCATCCATCCATCCATCTATCTATCTATCTATCTATGCCAACCGTTTTAATCTTCTTCAAAACTACTTCAATTCCTTAAGTGTTTAAACTACTTCAAACTTTCGGGCTACGCTTTCTCAAGCCACCATAAAGTTTGTTTATGAACTTTACTTTTCTAGTTACATTACATTACACACATTCTATTCTATTCTATTCTATTCTATTCTATTCTATTCTATTCTATTCTATACACATGTTCATCTTTTGTAGGTTTGATTGCTTCTTTGGTCCTCATTTTTATGTTGCTTTAAATAAGAGTGTCTTCTAAATGGGATAAAAGTGTCTTCTAAATGGTTAAATGTAATCATAAACACTCTGTGAGAACAGGCCTTTAAACAGAAGCATCAGGAGCCAAACAAACGCACAGTAAAGCACATTTAGATTTCCCCTGCTCTGACATCAAGAAAGCTTGTCACTTGTAAGAACAGCCTGTGAAACGTGACACAGGCGATGCATGCACATTTACGCCCATGCCGTTATGCATATAAGCACGCACACACAGCACAGATGCCCTGAACAGAAGGGGCTCTGCTCTCTTTAATATTCTACTTGGTAGGTGTGTGCAAAAAAAACTGAAGCAGAGACAACAATTCTGCCCACGCCGCTGCTTTACTGTAGGTAGAAGCTAAAAGAAAAAGTGTATGAAGAGAGGGAGGGTAGTGCGTTGGCATTGTGTGGTTTCATTTGACATCATTTGTCACCCTAGTTACCTTATGAAGTATTGTGGCAACACAATACACAATATAAGGCCACTGCTTTGATAAAACCAGATTCATCAACATTACAGGTAAAAGGCCAATATACTGTACCTATACAAAATGGCATGTCATCATATCGTCATATTACACAGCAAAATCCTCTGAGTAAGTCGGCCCAATAGCCTAGTAGTTAGCGCGGCCACATAAGGTGCAGTAGTTAGTCATGGGACAATAACCGTTTTCAAGGTATATAACCGGTTTTCTGTAATACCATTCCTAAAGTATGTGTACAAAATTTTATTTCATTTTTTTTGTTTATTAGGACAACAGTATCTCCAGCAGAAAAAATATCCATAGTTGCCAGTTTACATTGTACTGAAATCTGTGTTTTTAAAACAAATGAAGACAGCAGAAGTCAGTGATTCATTTGAATTATTTAGCCAGACATGTTTACTGCTCCAAAATATTATAAATCTTTAAAAAAATTAAATATATTGTTTTCAAAGGAGAAAAAGGTTTTTGTTTTTTACCCAGACATTTAAAAAGATTATATTTAAGAGCAGTGATCACAATACCGTAATATCATGATATTTTTATCCAAGGTTATCATACTGTCAGAATATACCAGCCCATGCCTAGGCACGTCAGGTGTCCCGAGTTCGAATCCTGGCTTAAGGACATTTCCCAACCCTACCCAGTCTCTCTCTCCAACTTCGCTTCCTGTCTCATAGCTGTCCTATCTAATAAAGGCAAAAAGGCCAAAAAATGAATCTTAAAAAAAAAAAAAAATTGTAAAATGTACT